TGAGACATTAGTGATGTTTATTCAGGCTAAGATGTGATCCTGGCATTGCCAAACTCTGATTTGTTCCTTTTAGAATTTCAAAGGTTCCTTAAGTTTTTGTCATTCTTCTAACATTTTTCTTACCACTTTTCTGATATAAATTTAGATTTGGCCTGTTGGTACTGTGAAATTTATCATCTAGTAGCAAGAAAACACATTCTATCCTATACAGTAGTCTGTTGTTATGTATGTTTTGTACTGAGGTTTTCAAGTTTTAATTGTGAGATACTTTTAGATAAACTTACATGTATTAAATTATCTGCTGCACAAATGGTGCTTTATTGCATCTAAAATATGTCTATTTATTGTAATATTAAAACCTTTTCTTAGGGAAATAATTAAGAATTTAAGTATTTAAATTTCTCAATTGAATGTTATAATTTAAGTAATCATTTCTCCCAGTTTGTCTGAGAAAAGTGTCGATTTATGCTTGTTTCCCTGGCATAATTACTAATAGCACTCTCATTCTAAAAATACATTATTTTTAGGTTGAAAAATACATTATTTGGACACTCTAGTTATAATACTAGGATACTCACTCTCTCTTTGCATTTCACATAGGATTGATTAACGTTTCCTCTTTCCTTCTATCTTTCCTCTCAGTCTACCTTCCACGTACAAACATGGGGTAGATAGGAGAGATTTGTATGTGTAGGTGGGAGATACATGGAGTTAGTAGGAAACAACATGAAAGAATCATGTAAACACAGTTTTGGAATCAAATGGTAGCTTTATAAAAGTATTTTTTAGGGTGATATATTCAGATTTTTATATTTTAAAACATTTGTTATATTGGCCAATTGGCCAACTCCCAACATCTTTCTCTGTTACTACAATTACATTTGATTATGCACTCAGTTTGGACTTTCAAAACTTGAGCTTCATTAGCTTGTACATGCTACAGATAGCTTCTATAAATTTTTTAAGCGTCTCTTTTGAAGAACGTTTGTATTCCTGCTATTTGTTCTGTAATTGTATTTCTGTTACATTTTCTAATGCGTTTAACATTTAGAAATGGATAATTTATTAGTTCTATGAAAGTTATTGTTTTATCTATGGCAGGAATACAATCGATCTGGTGTTTTATCAAACCAGTCTAATTTTGAAAGAGCATGTAATACATACTGTGGTCCATAAAAGCAAATGTATTATATATTCACAATTCTTTCAAGACTTCTTTTGATTTAACATCTATTTGTGCCATGACGTGGTCATGTAATATAAATCTCATGATATCAGAATTTCCCAAGGAGAAAACATCTATGAAACAAAGAAATTCTTAAGAGAAGCAGCGTAGTGTGATTCAGAGCACAGACTCTGGAGCCAGACTGTTTGGGTTCACATGTGGGCTCCGTAACTGACTTGCTATGTGACCATAGGCTAATACTTACCTCTCTGTGTTTTAGTCTTCTCATTTTTTTTTTATTTCAGCATATTATGGGGGTACAAATGTTTAGGTTATGTATATTGCCTTTGCCCTACCCGAGTCAGAGCTTCAAGCGTGTCCATCCCCCAGACAGTGCGCGCTGCACCCATTATGTATGTACATACCCATCCCCTCCTCCCCCCTCTCATCTGCCCGACATCTGATGAATGTTATTACTATATATGCACTTAAGTGTTGATCAGTTAATACCAATATGATGGTGATAGTCTTCTCATTTGTAAAATGGAGGTAATGATACAACCCCTACACTGTGAGATTGTTGTGACAATTAAATGAGTTGTTATATATAAAGTGCCTACAACAGTTCCTGGCACACGGTAAACACACTGTAGGTTTGCTATTACTATTATTGTCAGTGGAAGAATACATTAGGTTTATCTCTCTTGATTTAAAACATGTGAATTGGTAATAATAAAGAAAGTATCTCTATTCCTTATAAGGAATTAGACTGCTTTTTGTTTAAAGTATGCAGGTTGTGGATTGGATATGGAAGGTATGGTGCCTCTTAAGGAGAATGGGTTTACAAAGAAATTTTACCCACAAACACCTATGAGAGGGCCTATTGGCAGAAGCCTTAGCTTCTAGCACTTTATTCATTTCAGTTTTCTCTTTCTGAACTGCCTTACTTATTTGTCCTTCAGGATTCAACTTAAATGTCACTTTTTTTTTTTTTTTTTTTGAGACAGAGTCTCACTTTGTTGCCCTGGCTACAGTGAGTGCCGTGGCGTCATCCTAGCTCACGGCAACCTCAAACTCCTGGGCTCAAGCAATCCTACTGCCTCAGCCTCCCAAGTAGCTGGGACTACAGGCATGTGCCACCATGCCCGGCTAGCTTTTTCTATATATTTTTAGTTGTCCAATTAATTTCTTTCTATTTTTAGTAGAGACAGGGTCTCGCTCTTGCTCAGGCTGGTCTCGAACTCCTGCGCTCAAACAATCCTCCCGCCTCGGCCTCCCAGAGTGCTAGGATTACAGGCGTGAGCCACCGCGCCCGGCCTAAATGTCACTTTAGGCCTGAATGTTTCCCTTTATTCACTTACTTCTCTTATTCTAGTTAAAAGTGATTAACTCCTTCTCTTTGTAGCCTTAACAAAGCACTTACAGTTAGCTGGATGATATAAATTGTGGCATGATGAATATACTAGTACCCTCTAATCATATCTCCTCTTAGAAGCCCTGGTGTTCTGGGTTTTGTTTTGTTCACTGTGTCTTGCTTTTATTTCTAATGCCCATTGTTGCAAGAAAGGAAATATGGTTAAGAACTGAAGCCTCTCCATCTATCAATTAAGCATTTATGCTTAATTAGTTTTGTAAATGTAACCTACTTGGAATTACGCAACTGAAATAACATGTAGAATAATGAGGTTATATTTGAGAAATGAAAATAGAAACCAGTTTATGGTGATTTACTGACTAAAATACTTTGGTCATCTAGGAATGAAAAATACATAAATGTTTAATATACTTTGAGAATTTTATTCTATCTATAAAATTAATTTTTTATGTTTTAATTGGTTTGATAATAGTAGAATATTTTTGAATGTCATTGCAGTCAGGATGACATCAGAAAATAACAACATGCCATTTTGTGATAGCTACTTTAGAATGCACTTCCCCACTTAGATAAAAACATCCAAAATTAATTTTCTTTTTAATAGAAGCTACTTGTACTCCAACTTTTTTCTTTTTTTATTTTATTTTCTTAATTGACAAATAATAATTGTACATATTCAAGGGTTACATAGTGATGTTTTGATACATATGATCTATAGTGAGCAGATCCATTATCTCAAACATATATCATTTCTTTGTGTTGGGAATATTCCAGCTTTTTATAAAAACTATTTTATTTCTGGCTTCAAACTGTTTTACTGGTGAATCTCTAATGGTTGACATGTTTAAAATTTTAAATTTATTGTTAGCATCACCGTGCAAAAGATTGCATCGAGTACAAACGCAGCAAGTGTGACCACTACAGCATTTCTAATATTCATTAGATAGATTTATTCAAAATGTGGGCTTTCATGACTCTACTAACATTCTTTATGAATAATAAAAAGCCAAATTCTAACATCCTATCCAGATCTTCATGGAGATAGGGTGGTATGATATAGAAAGTACTAGCTTTGGAGGAAGACATAGCTGTATTCAAATTATGGCCCTTTAACACTTATGCTGTAGGACTTGGGGCTGGGTATGTAAGCTCTCTAAACTTCAGTTTAGTCAGCTGTAAAATAGGTTAGAAAATACAAGATAAGGAATTTGTAGGGATTAAGTGAACAAAATCAATTTATTTGTGTTATACTCTATGTTATAACTATTAGAGAAGGAAATTAAAAAAAAAAAGTGACTCTCTGAAAGAAGCTCACTGTTGGTATTTTTCTTGATCCAAAGTTTCACCTTTTTTTTTTTTTACCTTCTTTTCCTTTTTTTACCTTAAGCTCCGTCTCAGCATAAAGTTTCACCTTGATTAAAAAACAAACATTTTGATTTGTGAAGGCTCATGCCTGGCTGTTCAATCTCCTAATTCGTCACTGTTGTTACCCTCCAGCTTTTGAACACTTCCCTTAACTGACATTAAATGTATTCTTTCTGTCAATTTAAGTTCCTACTATCACCACTGTAAGTAGATGACTTTTCTAATACCCTGTCCTCATACTTCCTTGAGCCCTACATTAATGTTGACCTTCATCTCAGCTCTACTTCATTTAGCCACTCTAATTGTCACACCTTGTCTTGTTATCAACTAAAATCCTGCTGCTGAAAGTACTATTTTGCCCCCAAATCACCGTTCTCTAATAGCAATCTCTATTCTTTCACTTTGCTTGTACAACTACTTTCTTTTAATCTGTTTGTCATCTTATCAGGACCTCTAGTCTTTTGTCCCTTCTACTTTCTCCTAATCTGTCAACCTTTTCTGTGTTCCCTTCTCTTTCCTTCCTATACAGCTTAAATTCCAAGATCCACCATTTCAGCGGTTCTTTTGCCCATATCCCAAACTTTAGTTTGAATCTTGTGATCTCCATAATATATCTTTCACTTACAATATTTTATACAACATTTATTAACTTTCCAAAACCTCAGTTTTCTTGTGGATAATATATGAGGTAGGATATACGTGTGTGTGTGTGTATATATATACATATATATACACACACACACACTAGATATAGTATTTACTGGATCCTTACCATAATCACTAGATTATGGTAAGGATTAAATGAGTTACTGTGTATACAAACTGTTTAGCCTACCCTTTGACCCATGTGGAGAGATGTTGTGGAGAAAGGTAGCATGACATGTATACATAGACCATGTTTGCACCTAGACTGCTGCTCAATGCTAGAGAATCCAAGCCCAACAGATTTACATAATGTACACTTTGGGTCACCAACCTCTGTAATGGGTCATTAAGATTGTCAAGTAGTTCACCTCTGAGAAAACACATTTATGCATCTTTAAAAGGTAGATACTTTTACATTTGAAATAACTGAAAAGTATGTTTAAATTTTAGAAATCTCCGAGAAGCAAGGGATAATGCTATAGCTGAAAAGGACCGAGCAGTGGTGGCTGAAAAGGATGCTTTAGAAAAACATAATCAGCTCCTAGACAGGTAAGCATTCTAAAAATAGAAATGTTAAAACTCTTTCCTTTTGTTCCTGTCACCTTTTCTTTTAGAACATATGTTTTTAATGGAAGTATAATTTTCATTTCAATTGAAGTATAATTTATGTGCGTTATTTTTGTAATATGTAAATATCGCATATATTGAAAACGTGGTATGGAGTAGATCAGCCACTCCAGAGAGTTTCATTAGGCTCCTTTCAGTCTCTCTCCTCCTGAAGAAGGAACTCCTTCCTGATTTCTATCACCATGGTTTAGTTCTGCTCTTCTTGGACTAAAAATACTCTTTGTAGGTACTCTTTTGTGTCTAGCTTCTTTCACTACACTTCGTTAATTGTATCAGTAGTTCATGCCTTACTATTGCTGAGTATCAATATTCTACATTTTATTATATTCACCCGTCAATAGACATTTTTGTTTTTTCCAGTTTGTAGCTATCATGAATAAAGCTGCCATCAACATTTTATGTAAGTTTTTATAAGTGTATGCTTTTCTCTTGAGTGAATACCTAGGAGTGAAATTGCTAATCATAGGATAGATGAATGTTTTACTCTAAAACCTGTCAAACTTAACTCCAAAGTAGTTGTGCCATTATATACTCCCCAGTTTATTTTTTGAAAATCTATATGTTGTAATATATGTGTATTGAGGGAAGGCAAGAGAGAGAGACTTGTCTTTAATTTATTCATAGGAAAGGATATTTATTTTAATAACCTTGTTAAAAGGAAAATAACTGATGAGCATTAAATATCACTCATTACCTCATTAAACACCCTAAATTTTCAATGGTTTGACTATATGCAGAGTGAACAGAGTGGCTACCTTATTTTTACTTTTTATTTTGAAATAATTTCAGACAGAAAAGTTGCTAAAATCATACAGAAAGTTTCTGTGTACCTTTCACATACTAATAAACTTTTGAAATTAAGCCCAATGGCTCTTTAAATTGTTAAATGAAGACCTGCAGATTAAATTGTGACTTAAACAATACATAAAACTAAAATTTAAGATAAGTCTTTATATAATTAACCAATTGTCAAAATCTTTTAGAATAGCTCGAATTCTTATACTTCTGAATTCACATCAACTGTATAAACTTGGTCCATGGAGGAATTTTAATAAATTTAATATTGAAGAAGTCGTTCCTATAATGTGGAAGTATGTCTTATTCTAAAGATCATGTTATAAAATCAATTTATAAACCAGCTATTTATTAGAGTTCTGTTAACACCTCTTATTTTTTATCTTTTATTATGTATAACCCTTCCATTTACAAATATATATGGTGTCCACTAAAGATTTATTTGACTTTTTGTTAATGTTAGCTTTGAATGTGTATTTCTATGGATGAATATATTTAGAGACAGCGCTAGAATAAGATTTATGGGCAAACTAACAAGGTTTCAAAGAAAACAGAAGATTTTAGCTGGTAAACGAGAAATTACATTCAGACAAAATTTCATAACTTGCTAGCTTTAGAATGTTTTTGTGAAGTTGGAGAGATTAAATCTGATCTTAAAATTGGCCAATTATATATATAATAAGCACTGTAATATCCTACACTCTGACACCTAAATCCATCCTATCCTCCTTTTCCATACATTAACAACTGGTATTTATCCTTAAGGCTATGGGATACTTCAGTCTCTAAAAGTGTATTCTGAATCATTAAGGATTCAATTATTTAGTGTTTATAAAGCACTTAGAACAGTGCCTTGCACATAATGAATACTATAAAAATGTTTTCTATAATTACTATCATCGTAGAATAATTTGTTCAAGATAGTCCTCTTACGAAACTTTACCAAGTAAATCTTTTTTCTTCAAAAATTAGTGATGTCTTTCGAATGCATTTTCCACTAGAATATTAGATAAACTGGAACACGTCATTTCCAAACTGCCAGATGAGAGGAATTTTGTTTAGTCTTAATTCCTTGAGGTGACAGTAAAACCTTACTTATACAGAGCCTAATTTTCAGCCAACCTTAAATATTTATGATAGTTTTAAAATCAAGACTAGGGAAAAAAGAGAGTGGTTCTAGACATACTGGAAATAACCTTTAGGCAGCAGATAGTGTTAATGCTTATGACTTTAAAGGACATCACAGAATGAAAGATTTATGAACAAATGAATGAGAATAATATCTGGGAATCTAAAACTCATAATGAGCGTGGGTTTTAGCAAAATGCTTAAATGAGCTAAAGGCACCTATCTGGTTTTTGAGATATATTATCAATAAGTGAAGGGAAAAGTCCTCTGCTTAGGGGTGTATGCCTGTGGTCCCAGCCACTTTGGAGGCTGAGCCAAGAGGATTGCTTGAGCCCAGGAGTTCAAGGCTGCAGTGAGTTATGATCGTGCCACTGCACTCCAGCCTGAGTGACAGAGCAAGACTCCATCTCTTAAAAAAAAAAAAAAGCAGCCATGCTTATAGTGGTTTTTAAGATTGGTATTGGAAAAATCAAGTATCACCCAGAGTTAGGATGGATGCTCTAAGAATAAATCAAAGCAAACTACATTTCCATCTTTAATAAATATGTTATAGGAGTAATGCATGGAAATGAAGTTCAGGTGCAAATTATTTGGTAATACTTTCCATGAATATTCTTCTAAACAAGATGATGAAAATATGGACACAATTCAAGATTAGGTAAATGGATTAGTAACTGTTGAAGGGCTTTATCCAGTGTTTTTAGAGAATCATTAATAGTCAAGAAGTAGGTATATCATGGCCATCTATAATACCCTGTAGTACAATATTTCTACATTTTTGTCAGTGATTTCAGTAAAAATAAAAACCACATATTTAGCATATTTGATATAAAACAGAGAAGAATAACAAATTGAATGATGGGATGAGGATCTAATAGATCTTTTCTGGCAATACTAATGAGCTTAATGAATTTTAATAGGAATAAATGTAAGATCATGCACTGGGTCCAGAAAACCTATGATGGGATTATGGGCTTAGAAGTGAACTGTAAAAATGACTTGGAAGGTTTCAATATGAAGATATTATCCTGTAGTAATAGGAGTTACATGTAGAACGTGGTCAGTAATTACTTTACCTGTAGAATTATGCTGAGATCTGGGCACCCAACCTGTACACTAGGCAGTCTTCAGAGGAAAATGACCAAAACTGTAGAAAGATTCAAGTGTCCTTTTAGTGCTAGATTATAGTTGTCAACTAACATTTGGAGGATTCACATATAAAAGAGCTGATTTTCGGCCGGGCGCGGTGGCTCACGCCTGTAATCCTAGCACTCTGGGAGGCTGAGGCGGGCGGATCATTTGAGCTCAGGAGTTCGAGACCAGCCTGAGCAAGAGCGAGACCCCATCTCTACTAAAAAGAGAAAGAAATTAATCGGACAACTAAAAATATATAGAAAAAATTAGCCAGGCATGGTGGCGCATGCCTGTAGTCCCAGCTACTTGGTAGGCTGAGGCAGTAGGATCGCTTGAGCCCAGGAGCTAGGATGACACCACAGCACTCACTCTAGCCCGGGCAACAGAGTGAGACTCTGTCTCAAAAAAAAAAAAAAGAGCTGATTTTCTAACTTGGCAGCACCTAAAGTAGTAGAACTGGGACCACTGGATAACCATTACAAGAAAGAGTAAAGATTAAAATAGGGCTTTTCAAAATGCCTTAGCATTTAATATATTCTCCATCAATAGAAGTGTTCAGACATAAACTGCCCAAACATTGAGTAGAAATGTCCTGGTAAGGACTGAAATATCAAGTGGATAGCTTGATGAGTTTGAAGTTTCTTTTGATCGAGACATTGTCTATGACAACAGCTTCAAAGAGTTAATACACTGGTTAAGTTACCATGTGAAATGAATGGTGAACACAAACTAATTTTAAGGATATTATTTAAAAGATTTCTGCCGTTCACTTTTCATGTTTTTTTTTAAAACAAAAACCTAGTGGTTAAGACTATTATTTGAAAAGGACACCAGATATATGTGTGTGGGTATACATATATTTTTACATATAGAAAAATATATATAAATTCGCTGAAATTCCTTTGAGTGTAGACTGCCTATATGTTTAAATTCATATTTTAGGAATATCACATATATTTTTTGTATATAGTGAAACACAAGGAAAAATATTCTTGTCTTTTATTTTTTAGAGGTTGAGTTTTTAATATTCAAATATGTGATTCCGGATTGCTGTGTATCAAAATCAGAATAAACAAATGTGTTTTAATCTTTACATGGAACATGATTTTCCTGAATCGTTCTTAAGTCAAGCCTCCAACATGCCTACACACAGTTTTCTAGTTAAGTATAATTAATCTCATCTCTCATTTATGTTAGCAGTTTTTCTTTGTCAAATGCTTTATGATTAAACAACCTGTGTTCTTATAAAGAGAAATGTAAGGAAGAAGTGTACCGTTTTCAAACATGAATGAAAAAGGCTTTTTACTCAAAGACTTCAATTCTACAAAGAAAAGGACTTTTCTCAGGTATATAAAAGACCCATGTACGTCCCAATTCAAGCTCAACAATTTAATAATAAGCAAAAAATACCCAACTTTCATGATCATGAGCAGTTACTACCTCATGTTCTGTTGCTTTGGATGTCTGCATACACTCTAAGGATTTTTTTGTCAAAAAGAGGAAATTTTAAAATTCAATCTGTGTGAGTAGTAGAATAAGTTGAATACACTGTTACATCTGTGGGATACTACATGAGAAGCCTATATTTGAATCTAAATTATACTTGCTATTAAAAAGTAATTTTAATAGTAAATTTTTTTCACTTAATTTTTGTTTTTAAAAATATATTCTATATTTTGAAATAATTTTCAATCTGTAAATGTTTTTAAATGAATACTCCTTGAAATTATGTTTTCAATCCCCAGAACTTCTCTGGTAATGGTAGGATTTTTGTCCTCATTTTTTATTAGTGAAACCAAAATAAGAGGCCATAGGAGATCAGGTGAGTAAAGTGATTTTTCTTTCATACTGAGCTAGTTTAAAGC